GTCCGTGGAGCAAGCGGGTCTGTGAACCATCCTTTTGCGACCTATCGTTTCTACGACCTCGTCGTGGTAATCGCTACTTTTCCAAAGGCTGCGGGGCCTCTTGGTTCCCCTTGCGAGGTCGGGCGCCGTGGCTCTCATTCGGGTGGCGGGGGGAAGTCTCCTGGGCCGATCCGTCTGCTCCTGGACCGCTGCCTCGGGTCTTTCACGGCCTGTCCGCTCGGTTGAATTTCCCTTGGGCCGTCGGGCCTCTCTTGGCGGGTGGCCGCAGTGCGAACCCTGGCTGCTGCGATCTGTGGCAGCCCTTTGTTGTATAAACTTGTTGCTTCCACGTGCATCCCTCCGCTGATCCTAAGAACCTTTGTTCAAGACGTTGTTCGGGGAGACACACAGCGCATCAAATCACGGCGCGCATTGGCCGTCATCAATGGGGGTAGATAGCCTGGGGAAAAAAGGATTTGGAGGGATGGTTTGATAATGAGGGTGCGACCGACCGTGGAAATTGCCGTGCTCCCTGAAGTGTTCGTCGGGTTTTGTTTTCAGGACGCTGACTTCAACGGATTTGCGTCGGAGGGCGAAGGTGAAGTCTCGTGCTTCGGCCCCTGATGTCCCTCCTCCTCTCCTGCTGCTCTGCTGTACCCCTGTCCCCTTTTCCTTGTCTTCCCAGTGCTTAGATTGGCGGCCCAGTCAGACGTCTTTAGACCCCGATTCCGATTCCGATTCCGAATCCGAAGAGGAGGAGGAGGAGGAGGAGGAGGAGGAGGAGGAGGAGGAGGAGGAGGAGGAGGAGGAGGAGGAGGAGGAGGAGGAGGAGGAGAGGAGGGGAGGAGGGAGGAGGAGGAGGAGGAGGAGGAGGAGGAGGCAGGAGGAGGAGGAGGAGGAGGGGGAGGAGGACAAGGAGGGGGAGGAGGAGGAAGAAGGAGGGAGGAGGGAGGAGGAATAACTATAATTGCGGGTGGCAGTGGTGAGAGGAAAAGACATTGCGGCAATGGTAACATGAGAGATAGCAGAGCGGCGGTCTTTTCCTCTTTCAGCAGGACCAGGAAAGCTAGCAAACTCTGAACAATACTGCAACGGACCCCTCCTGTTCGAGTCGGGGCTACCGGGCAATGGAGAAGGTCACTCCGCAACACTTAGGCCACAGGGGGCCACCCGCAATGAGGTGCCATTACATTCACCGCGCTGCCTTTGCAGTGGACGCATCGTGCCCGACGTGCGCTCGAGCCGCAGCACCTATCGCGCCTTCAAGCCAGATTCGCTCACTGGCTTTATTTCGGGCACGCTGCTGGTGTGGCAGCTCGCCTTCGGCAGGTACCGGTGGGCGTAGCTGTCCATTGCGTCGCTTGCGCGGCTGTGTAGCTGGAGCGCACCCGCGCGGCTTCGTGCGCGCGCAGATGCAGCTCGTCCAGCTGCTCGCGGCAGTGTGCCTCTAGTTGCTATTGCTTACCACTTACAGCTGTTGGCTGGTCCGCGCGTTGGTCTTGTGACTGTTGAGCGGCACCGACGCGGCGCGTGCTGCCTGGAGGTAGCGGACAGCAGAGCAGCGCAATGCCACAGGTGCTTTCCTCGGCTGTTCGTAGCTGCCCCGTCGTCGTCGGCGCAGCGTGGCCAGCGTGCCAGGCCGCTGCGATGCTTGCCGGTTGGTCTATAAGGAAGCGTGGGCGGTGATGCGGCGCTGACCTCTGTGATGGCGTGCTGTCGCGATGGCACCTCGTAGCGCGGGCGGTCTGAAGTGCCGCAGCTGGGCACGCGCGCATCGCGCCAGTCGAATGGCTGGGGCGTTGTGCCTGCCCGGGCTACCAGATGAAAACGTGCGCGTTGTTGTCCGCGTGGCGCCAATCTCCTGCGAAACAGGACATTCCTTGCCATTGGCCGACAGGCTGGCCAGCCACTGATGGCATGGATCGGCTCCTCGATGGTGCTCGTGTCGAACGAGATCTGCGATGAGCGCGAGGTCGGGTCATCCTCGCGATGCTCGTCGCAATTGCCGCCCAGTGCCTTGCCGCCAGCGCATCGGGCGGACTCCAACATGCCCAGGCGCATCCGGCGGACTCCCATGACCAAGACGCACGTGCACTTGTGCTGCGCAGCGTGTTCAGGAGGACAAGGATGGCGCCGTGCCAAGTGGAGGCAAAACCGCTTCCTTTCGATCCGTTGCAGGTGCGACGGGGTTCGCGCTGCTGGCGGCCGCGCGAGGGGGGCCGGTTCGGCCAGCTGTCCTTGCCCACGACGCGGGGTCGCGCACAGCCGCAGCGACCGCGTGGCGCCGCGAGTCGCTATCCGTTGTCAGGCTCACGGCAGTAAGCCTGGTGGCTGATGTTAATTTAATTTATGTTTAGCGATTCTGGGCGTGCCCCTCGTCGGCAGTGTCTCGGGAAAGGCGCCGCCGCGCGCGTCGGCGCTCTCGCGTGCAACTGTCCGCGCGACGGTGCCGTCGCAGTATGGCGCGGACAGTGCGCGAGCGCATATCGGGCAGCGCGGCGCCACTCCCCAGTCGCCGCTCCCGGTGGGCGGCTGCAGCGCCAGGCCGCCGTCTGCGGGTAAATGCCCATTCTAGGGGCTGACGCGGGAGCGACGAGTGAGGCCCTGGCACTGCCTTGCGTTTGGTGCTGGCACTGCCTTGCGTTGGCGCTGCACTGGCGCGCCAGACCCCTTATCTTGTCCGCCGGTGCCCGCCATGGGGCTGGACATCCGGGCGCGAGCGTCGGCCGCGGTCGCCTCCGCAAGGCCGGGGGGCGGCGGGCAGCCGGACCTCGCCCGCCAGCTCGCCCATCATGCCCTCGCAGTCGCTGGGGCATCACGCTGAGTAGTGCGTCGATCTGGCGACGCAGCTGAAAGGCCTGGCCATGCAGTTCGCTGCGCGACATTATAATATATTATGTTTTCTGTATCGTGTATCATATGGCATTGTGATGTATTCGACCATATCATCGTATCGTGTGTTAGGTTGCACTGCGCTATACCCTACTATGTTACATGACGTATACTACTTTAATACTTTACATTATCGTATCACGTTATCCTATACGACTCTACATTGTTATTCTGTATATATATGTATATGTATATATATATAGAACCCTTGCAGACAAACTAAGGGAAGGGGGAGGAAGAGATACCAATTCCCTCGGTCCTCGAAGGCGACGGTTTATCTGGAACGTATCAGGTGGCCCTGCCACAAGCTCCGCAATGGGCGGACGGGAGCTCTGGCCGATGCAGGAGATGAGGGCGCTTTCTTGCTGCTTCCCTGCACCGTCCCAGTCGACAAAGGCACTTTACTGTCACTCCCCTGCACCCTCCTGCGCGCTGCCGATGCGCCCGTTGCTGGGCACCCGTCTCGAAAGGCGATGGAAGCTCAGGACCAGGGTTAGGTCGGGCGTGTCCCCCGTCCCCCTACAGGCGGATTTTGAATGTAAATCGTTTTGTTTGTTTTGTTTCCTCGCTTTTTCTTTAAGAAAGATGAAACATGGTAGAAAACGTCCCCAAACAAGTTTTGAGCTATTTTTGGATATTCATGCCGTAGAGGGACACGCCCGACTTAAGACCAGGGGGAGCGGCCACACGGTCCGGAATCCCCCGTGGCGGTGTTGCAGGAAGCGGCTGCTGGAAGGACCGGGACAGCGAGAGCCGCGCGCGCTGCAGCGGCGCCCCGAAGCCTGTGCGCAAGGCGCTCGGTGGCCCACTGGGCCGGAGGCGCCGTGCCACGCCGCCAATGCCGTGCCACACGGCGCGCCACGCCCAAACTCAATCTGGTGAGCCAGTGGTGCCGTGCCGTGCCGTGCCGGGCCGTGGTAATGTCACGCGCGGCCGGCAGTCGCGCCGCACAAAGCACTGTCTGCGCCATGCCGTGCCTTGGCGCGCCGCCAGTGGGCGCGAGGGGCCTCGTCTGGCGCGTGCCATGGCGGCGTGGAGCGGCGTGCCGCGCCGTGCTACTGTGCGCTGTGCAGTGTCGCGGCTATGGTCAAGGCGTGGACTCAGGAGAGGCCGGATGGTGACGCTATGATGGCGGCGAGGCGAGGGATTCAGTGGAGGGTCCTCGTGGCCACGGTTGGATCATCCTCGAACTCCTGGTAAGAATTCGCTACAGGAGAGGTCCGTGGGGTAGTGGTATCACTACCTTTTTTTCCTGCCAAGGGATGGGGCGGTATGGCAGCACGGCGGTCCGCCCGTGCGGCGCCGTGCCGTGCAGTGCCGTGCCGCTCAGGAGACGCGTTCTGGCAATCTGAGAACCCAATGCGGTGCCGTGCCGTGCCAAACCGCGTCAGAGTAAGGTCGGAAGGACATTCTTGCGCGGTGAGACGCTACTTGTCACGGCAAGCCTGCGATCCCACGAAGCTCCGACCACTCTCCATACCATTATACGCCGCGTCGGAAAGACACCTGCCCTCCACCCTCGGACTATGGTGACTCGAACTGTTGAAACAATACCCGCGGCGACGAAACGGAACCGTGATTTAAAGAGTGCCTACCTACCATCAGGGCCGCAACTTGCGAGGAAGTGCAGGGCGAGGTCTCTATATCTATTTTGAAGGCGCACCGCCCTCCATCCATCTAGATCTTGGAGGTGAAGATTTGGAGCTCCAGTCAGGCCTCTAATTTGTGATGGGGTTCTGTGCGACAGCTCCATCCGGAAGAGGTAGCCCTTCGTCCGCGGAGCTGCTCGAACTACAGTCTGCGAATATGTGCGCCCTCGGAGCATGAGATGTGAACGCCTCTCGACTAGACGTAAGAGTGACCTTTCGCAGGAGTGACCTTTGGTGCGGGCACAGATGGGTCCCCAGATGTCTGAAAACGAACACTAGCAGCTGGTTGCGCACCCAGGCTTGGTCCCCCCGCGGCCCCCAAAAAGCCGCGCACCAAAGGTCACTCTTACCCAGGGTCACTCTTGCGTATAGCCGAGCCTCTCAGAAAAAAAACACAGCCCACCCTGCCGGCATGCCTGGTGATGTGACGAACGAGGCCACACGGAAGAGGGACCCACGCCGGAGGAATGGGAGGACGAGGAACGAGGAGGAGGAGGAGGAGGAGAAGGAAGGGAAGGTGAACGTTCTCTTGTTCGGCGTCTCGACTTTGGGCGGAGGGGGGGGGGGTGGGGGAGGGGGGGGTCTGGCTCCGAACCTCTGCTTAGTGCGACTGTGTTGGAAACGTTCGTCTTATGGGGGAGACTCCACCTGCTCGAAACAGGCGCCAAAAACAGCCAAGATATACTCCATGGGGGGGTTGGGGAAGGGGGGTGCGAGGGCCCGCGCCGATCGGTAAAACAATGAATAAGAAAACGTTCACGAAGAGAAAAACGGGCCGCATGCTTCAAGCGACCTTTGTCCCTGCGCCGGGCAAGCACGCAAAAGCCTACGCCATCGACCCAAAATCGTTTGCGCGCGCCTCAACAGCCGCGGTCTGCGTGTCGGGGTTGGGCACCCCCGCACGGCCCGAAAGACACGCACCGAAGTTAACTCGAGCGACTTTCGGGTCACCTCTTGAGCGGGTGGTAATGGCGAGGCCTCCTAGATGGGGTCCGAGTAGATGGGTCGGAGGATTTCGACGCATCGCCAATACATCGGCGATACATCGCCGATGCATCGGCGATGCACTGGCGGCGACGTCGGCGGTACATCCGCGACGTCGGCGTGGAGAAAACTAGGCCCCACATCGAGCCGCATCGCCGATGCATCGCCGATGCATCGGCGATGCGGCGCGATCCTCTGACCCCATCTGCTCCGACCCCATCTATCGGCGGTGGACGAACCTCCCTTTAGTAAACCTCCCCTTAGTGAAAACGGCCTGGGACCGAAACCGACGGACCAGGACCCGCAAAAATGACGGCCGCGACGCTCTCTCGCGAACCGAAAACGGCCAATTCGCTAATCGACGTGTCAGGGTAGGAGGTCTATCCACCTCCGAATCTAGGAGGCCTAGATTCTCGGACTTCGGATCACCACTCGGGGCTCCGGTGGCCGCTCGGGACAGTTCGGGCACCCCCTGGAATGCCTTCTGCAAGGCGCAGCGAGCGCATCCTCAGGCTGGACACACATACACACAAGGACACACAAGGGTTCCCGCAGATGTTGGGGCCGATGCTGGGCCCCCCAAAGTCACTCCGGCGAAAGGCCACTTGTGTAGCCGCCTCCACCCGCCCAGTCCACCAAAATTAGGTCGGGCATGTCCTCCTAGAGGCGGATTCGGGACGAAGCATCTTGGACACCCACAACAGATCCAATATAGTAAGAACTAGTCAGTACATCGTCCCCATCATATTTTTGGAGCTATTTTGGAATCTTCCTCCTGCAGAGGGACACGCCCGACGTAACATAAGAGGCGCGCGTGGCTCGCCAACGGCTCACGCGCTGCCGGGCGCCGCCCTCAGCTGCCGCGGAACTTGCCCAGGATGTGGAGGGAGCAGACGATGGCCATGAAGACCAGGGACAGCACCAAGACCGTGGTGGGCCCCACCTTTTGAGCAGGGACCGACCATCCCGGCATTCCTGTGGGCCTACCACGGCATGCTCTCAGAAGCCCGAAGAGTTCTCAGAACAGAATCGATGTTCTTAGAACATTCGCCCGATGTGATCAAACAAGACAGACCCAGCCAGAAATGTTCTGATAACCTTTTGTGCAAACTACAAACAGTTCTTAGAACATTATGTGGTGGGCCTATAGGCGAGCCAGGACGCTTCGCCACTGCGTAAACCTTGGAGGGCAAATTCAGCATTGTCAAACATACCAGAAACATTGGCAACAAGAGTCGATATATCGTCCCCTGACTGCCTTCTGACCACTTTTGAATACTCCTCCTGTAGAGGGGCATGCCCGTCTTAACCCAGCCTTGGATTTGGACGCCCGAAATGGGCACGGAAACCATGGGTACAACGCCGAACAGCACATGTTGCCCCAAACCGACAGCGGCCGCTGTTGCGCAGGCGGCCTCCTGTCTTCAAAGAACCACGTCCGCGGCGGCGCGGGCAGCGAGCCCTGTCCAAAATGAACAAGAACTGCTGATGGGCACTGTGTGCCCACAGCTCTCCGTTTGGGCGTGGCTTACTGGGGGGGTCACAAACGGGGGGGTCAGAAAAGGTCCCCTTTCGTGCCCCTTTCGGGCCCCTCCAGAGCCCCAGGGGGCTCGTTTAGGTACCGTTTGGGTACCTTTTCGGACCACACTCGCCGCCCCCCCATTTATGACCCCCCCATTACGCAACGCCCAATCCGTACCCGCTGCGGCCGCCGCGGCTGGAGCGGCAGGACGCAGCACAGGCAGAAGCTCCCGGGGCTCGTGCGGACTTCGTGGGTCGGCGCTGCACGGCCCCCCCCCCCCTCCTGGCGCGCTCGGCGAGCCGCGCGCCCGGGCGGAGGGGGCTGGCGCCCGCCCAGGAGAGCCCCGCGCCGCCCCCCCGCACACCGGAGTAGCTGTCTGTCGGGCAAGGCCTCCTATAGAGGCGGATCTTGGGGAGAAACACAGAAAACAGGCGAACACATATGGAAGAAATGTGCAAATATGGCCAGGACATCGTCCCCAGACGTGTTTTTGGGTTGCGTGATTATTTTTGCACAGTCCTCCTGTAGGGGGACACGCCCAGCTTAACCTTAGATAAGGAACCCAGGGTCTGGAGACCGGTGGAACTCCAATCGAGGCCTGGCCATGGATATCGCCGCCGCTCTCATCAGATAAGGAATCCTCCAGGGTCTGAAGCCTCCTGGGCGCATTCCTTGGCCAACGCCCCCACCGTGGCTTCTGCCGCCGTCCCTGGCAGCCCCAGAGCTCCAACGGCGTAGTTTTGTCACATGGACCCCCGGAGGCCTCGACCCTTCCCAGGGGCCGGCCTCTCGCCCTGGGCCCTTTTCTGACGGTCCCCAGGGCCAGCGAGGGTCCGCAGAAGCCGGAGACTGCCAAACAAGCGTCCATCGTTTTTTTTTCCCCCCCTGCGCCGAGAAGATCGGGTTACAACTGATGGTGTACACGTGAACTTTCGGAGGTCCGCGCGGATTTCTTGGCTCGACGCTGGACCCCCCTTCATGGCGCGCGGAGCGCGCCAGGGGCGTCGCCGGAGGCGCCGCCAGGGGGGCTCCAGCGCCAATCCGAGAAATCCGCGCGGAGCTCCGACAGTTTATGTTTACGCAATGTTTTGTTTTTCGAAGCCGTCCGTCGTGATGTTTTCCAGCGGGGCACCTTCAGGCCGGCCGAGTCGTCCGTGTAGAACTTGAGGATGCCGCCGTCGGCGCCCTTGGGGGCCGCTGCTCGCCCCGGCCCAAGTCTGTCCCGGATCGACCCCCCGACCCCAACAAGAGCACCGCAAGAGAACCCCAGCACAACAGATTCAACGTTTTACCCGTAAGCGTTTGAATGTTTTTCGGCGCCGTCGTCGTCGTCGTCGTCACCGCCGCCGCCCACGACGTCGTCGTCGCCGTCGTCCCGTCGTTGTCGCTGCCGCCGCCGTCGCCGTCGTCGTTTTGGTCGTTGTCGTCGACGTCGTCGTCATCGTCGTCCCCATCCAGGGTCGGCGGCACCAGCGGTGAGGCCTACGGAATCTGTCCAACATCGATCCCCCGACCCCTCCCCGGGGTCCGCCCTGGCCAGCTCCTCGAGCCGCGCCCAGCCGCGGCGACAAGGAGCCTTCAGAGCCTGCTCTGGGGAATCCGAAGCGACGATGCCGAACCTCGAAACCTCGAGCGTCGACCCCCGAAGTTTAGGTCTGTCCTCCTACAGGGGGATTTCGGGCGAACATTTAAAAACAAACCCTAAACATATCCAACAATACTCAACAAAAGCCAAACACCGTCCCCAGATTATTGCTGGACTTTGTTTTGAGTACTCCTCCTTTAGAGGGACACGCCCGACTTAACCCGAAGTCTCGTCCGACCCGGCCTTGCTGCCGCCTGGCCTTGGGGCCGTCACCGACTCGGGCCTCCGGCGGCCGCTCGGGACACTCGGGGCACCCCACGAGGGCTCTCGGCGAGGCGCAGCTGCTGGAGGGCAGCCCGAGGCTGCAAGGCCGCTCGGAGAGAAACTTCGGAAGCGCCCGAACACCTCAAGGCCCCCCTCCTGGGCGGCGCGCGCACGGGGTATGGGGGATGGGGGAAGGCTTCTCAGAAGGAGGCTGCTTCTCGGAAGGCGCGGGCATTGCATCCATAGACAAGGCTCGCGCCTGCTAAGAAGCAGGTGTGCTTCCAAGAAGCCTCCCCCTTCCCTAGGGAGCCCACAAAGGACGTACGCGCCCAACTATGTACATGAACACGGCCCCTCGATTCGCGAGACCGGCCGCGTGATACGAACATTTGTGCAATGCGTGCTCTCGAAACCAGCGTGGATTCATGTACATGTACGTCCTTCTTTCGCTCCTGATTCCCCCTGCCCACCCTCTGTGCGCGTAGCACCCCTCCCCCGAGCCGAGCCACCCCCTCGACGCTGCCCCCGATCCGTCGCCTGGCCCAAAGAAGCCTGGCCCGCCCGAGGCGCGCAGGGAGCTGGGGGGGGGGGGGGGCGGCCCTCCGCGCCTCGTCTCGGCACGGACGGCTGCCCCCCCCCCCCTTCTCCCTCCCCCCCCCCCCCTGCGCGCCGAAAATGACTCTGGGTTTCTTAATAAGCGTGGGGGAGTACCCCCCGACGGGGGTCAACCTCGCCTCGTCGTCGCGCTGCGACGGGGGTCGAGGCGCCTTCGGCGCGCGGTGGCTGCCCGCGATGGGGGTCGATGTGGGGCTGTCGGCGGGGGTGACGCCCCCCCCCGACGCTTATGAAGAATCTCGGGGAATTGAAAACCTCGAACCTCTAACCCTTCCTAACAAGCGGGTTTGTCGACCCCCATCCCAAGCTTTGGGAGGTCTTCGAAGGGTTTGGACTTTAGGGGCCCAACCCTGGGATACACGATGGGGGAGTGTCCATCCTCGATCGGGGTGCGTCCGAATAGCCATCCTGGGGTGTATCCCAAGGTTTCCGCCGTTTTCTGAGCGGCCAAACCTTTCGGGCGGAACTTAAGGACTGTGGGAGAAACATCGCCTGCGACCCTCCTCGGGTCGGACGAGACGAGGAACAAAAAGCGGCATGCATATCATGTCTCGGAGGTCCGCGCAGACTCCTTGGATCGGAGCTGGACCCTCCTCACTAAAGCTCGGAGCGCGCCAAGGGCGGCGCCGGAGGCGAGAAGAGGGGGGTTAAGGGGAGGGCGGAAGGCTTCTTAGAAGGAGGCTGCTTCTTAGAAGGCGCCGGCCAACAGAAGTAGGGCCAGCGCCTTCTAAGAAGCAGTCTCCTTCTAAGAGGCCCCCCTCCCCCGCCCCCTCCACTGCGCGTGGCCGATGTTGAGGTCGATCAGGGCTGACTCGGGTTCGTTCTTCGGGAATCCGAGCCCGAGCTACCTCGGGCCCGAGTTACCCCGGATAATTCGGGCGTCCAGAGCCCCAAATCATCAGGGGTAACTCGGGTCAGGGCTAACTCGGGTTCGCTCTTCGGGAATCCAAATCCGAGTTACCTTGGGCCCGAGTTACACCGGATAACTCGGGCGCCCAAGTTAACGAACCAGCTTACGAAGCTGATTTCCCCGGCGTCTCCTGGCGCCTGAGGGTCCCACGTATCGATGAGTGTGCCCGGCGGCGAGGCTGGAACGCCCCCCATGTCCCTGCAGTGATGGCATTGGACAAGGAGCCACTTGACTCCTTTTAGGTCGGGCATACCCTCCTACACGCGGATTTTGGACGAAGAAAACAATCAAACAATATTCAAAAGTTGTTAAACAATAGTGAAAGTCGTCCCCAGATTATTTTTGGACTATTTTTGAATACTCCGCCTGCAGAGGGACGCGCCCGACTTAAGATTACCTACCAGACCACCCCAACCCAACCCGAAGACCCCAAATTCGGGTTGGGGGGGAAACGGGTTCGCCCCCCCCATTGTGAACGGATGGCAAGTTGGGGCCTTCGGGCTGGGTTGGGGTGTTTGGCGGGTGGTGGCCACTGGACAAAAAATTCGGGGTCTGGATGCCGTTGGAACCGAGGCCTAGCCATAGACATCACCACCGCCTTCATCAGACAAGCAGTCGCCCAGGGCCTGAAGCCTCTTCAGGGGAACAGGCAACGACATTAACATAACAAAACATCAGCGGTTCGCGCGGATTTCTCAAATCCGCGCTGGACCCCCCTCCCTGGCGCGTGGAGCGCGCCAGGGGCGGCGCCAGAGGCGCCGCCAGGGGGCTCCGGCGACGCTCCGAGAAATCCACGCGGGCCGCCGAGTTTGCACGCTTCTGTCGTTGTCGGGCTCCCTGTGGAGCGTCCTGGCTACATCCCTTAGCCTTGACCGATGCCCCACATATTCGTAGGTCGGGCATGTCCCCCTACAGGCCGATTTTGGACGAAAAATACAACATGCCAGAAGAACTATCCCAAACAGAATCAAGACCGGTAAACAAAAATCGTCCCCAGACTATTTTTGGACTTTTTTGGAATGTTCCCCCTTGTAGAGGGACAGGCCCGACCTAACCATACCGCCCCCCCCTTCCTCTGACCCGACGCTCGGACTCGGCCGCTGCTCGAATTCTGTGCCGACCCGCCTGCCTTGCGGCCGCTGCTCGTCCCGACCGTGCTCTTGCCCGCGGTGCGGCGCGCCAGCGCGGTCCTCTTGATGGGCCTGCTTTACACCACCACCACCATAAGTTGGAGGGGGAGGGTGTCCTCCTCCTCCTCCTCCTCCTCCTCCTCCTCCTCCTCCTCCTCGTCTTCCTCCTCCTCCTCCTCCTCCTCCTCCTCCTCGTCCTCCTCCTCCTCGTCCTCCATCTCCTTCCCCTCTCCAACCTATGGTGGTGGCGGTGGTGGAAAAAAAGCCCATGACCTCTGGAGGCCGAGGGCGACGCCGTGGTGCGTGCGAGCTGCGCCGGTTGCGCTCCAGGGTCGGCTGGCGGCGCGCACAGGGGAGGTGGTGGGGCGGGGGGATGGAGGCTTCTCAGGAGGAGGCTGCTCCTTAGAAGGCGCTGGCCTTACAGCTCCCGAGGAGGCCCGCGCCTTCCAAGAAGCATGGGCGCTGCTGAGAAGCCTTCTCCCCTCCCCCTGCCCCCTCTGCGCGTGGCCGAGTCGGGAAGACGGATCCGGTCGGTCGGGAGAAGTGGGTAGAAACATGAAGCAGGAAGGCGTCGGAGGTAGACTGGGTTCAGGTTCTCCTGTAGACTGTAGCAGAAGACAGCAGGAAAAGATCGCCTCTTGAAGCAGGAAGGCGCTTGAAGTAGATTGGGATCTGGGAGTAAAGACTACATACCTTCCTCGACCGACGGGCAGGCCTCGGGTTTGGAGGACTCGGGCTGGCCTGGCGTACGGGGCTCGTGGGCGGCGAGAAACGTATCCGCATCCGCGGCCTCGCGGCCTCGTATCCGTGGGCAACGACCCCGCGGAGACGCGGCGCTGTTATGCGCATGCCCCGCGCGGAAAGTATCCGTGCGACCGCGTATCTGCGACTCGAGCCGTACGTCTCCCCGATCCAGGAGCTCCGCATCATCTGGCGGCCCTCGTTTCTGGAGCCTGCGCGGATCAGTAGGAAAGCTGGGACGTCCAGGAAATCCTGAAGCGTGCAGTCATCGTGCGGCCGGGCGGAAAGTCGAACAGAGCACGCAGGGGCCCTTCTGGCCACGGCGAGCCTCGGCCACGAGCATGCCCCCGACAAAGGTCTGGGGAAGAGGGCCCGGGGACCAGACCCACTCCTGAGCCCGACATGGTCCTCACTTCAGCGCCTCGGGCGCATCGTGATCCTGACTTCTTGCTCCTCCGGGTCCTGGCGCCGCCCACGGTGCCGGCGGCCTGACGGCCGGCGGGCGCTGCGCCAGAGCTCGCCCCCTCTGTCATGAGCTGGCCACGCGCAAGAGTGGCCCCCGGCAGGAGCGGCCTCCAGGGGGGGCCAGCCTCGGCCCCAGTGTCTTCGAACGTTGCAGCAACTGCGCCTCGCCGAGAGCGTTCCCAGTGTGCTCGAATTGTCCCGAGCGGCCGCTGGAGACCCGAGTTGTGCTTAGGTCGGGCATGTCCCCCTACAGGCAGACGTTGGACGGAACAAAAAAAATAGTGAACAAATGTTCAACGCATGCACGAACATATAAAAAAAGATCGTCCCCAGACTAATGTTCCATATGTATTGCTACTTTGTGTTTTGCATATTCTGTGAATGCTCATATTTTTGAATACTTTGAGTATATTTTGACTATTCTTGTATATTCTTCCTGTAGAAGGACGTGCCGGACTCAGAGTTGCGCCACGAAGGCCGACCGACCTCCGGTGCGCGACCTTCGGAGGCCACGGGGGAGGCCGAAGCCGAGCGGAAAAAAGGATCCTTGGGCAAGTGCCGGGGGAAGCTTGGGGGCAACACCAGAGGGGGACTGGCATAGGTCAAGGGGCCCAAGAACACACACATAGATAGGCACAGATGACAGGATGCCCCATACTTTCCCCTATTTTCTGGGTGTTCGTCGCCCCCCCCCCTCTTCTCATATTTCCTCCTGGTTTCCTGGGGGATCGACGACAGCTTGTGTCTGTGTGTTTTTGTTCCCTCCTGACGCCAGGGAGGACTGGCACAGGGGGGGGCACATCGACCTGGCATCGGCGACACGTCGCCGAGAGATCGGCGACAGGACCCCGACGGTGAGTTCGCACTCTCCCGGGCAGGCTGAGGCCGTCGGGCCCCACTCGGCGGCCCGCGAGCGACCGGGGGTCGTGCGCCCCGGCCTGTGCACGCCCCCCTCGCCAGCTGCCCCTGAGGACCCCGTGGGCCCGCACCCGGAGGTCGCTCCGGCGAGGGGCCGCACTCCTGCGCGCAGCCGGCTGGGCGGCGCGGTGCGGCGCGGTGCGCTGGCGGTGGGCGGCGCGGCGGGCGGAAGGGCGGCCGAGACCTCCGACTGTGCGGCTCCTTCACGTGCGGCACAAGGGGGGGGGGCAGGTGCGCGGCGGCGGCCCGTGCGCGGCCCAGGGGGGGGGGGGCCAAGGACGTACGGTGAAGGGAGACAATTACTGAACACTCCCCCTCCCCCCAAACTCGAAATTGGCACGCGCGGGGGAGACTGCGGTCGAGGCGCAGCTCATCAGACCCACCGTCAACTTTGAACATTGGGGGGAGGGGGAGGCGTCGACAGATGAATGTGACATGAGTGTTCGTTTTTTTTTGTTCCGAGGCCTGTATTGAATAAGGAGAAGCGCCATGAAATCTGGGGAGATATCATGGCCCACGCCATGATGCCCAACCTCCCCTCTAGTCATCAACCCCCCTCTTGGCCGCCCCCCGATCTACGGGTCCCCGGGACGATTAAGCATGGATCCGGGACGGCCCCCAGCCAGCTGGTCGGGACCTGCGGGGCCGCCCGTGGAAAACAAATCGCAGCGTCGGAGGTCTTGGGGCCTGGACAGGAGGCGCCCTCGGGCCAGCGGCAGCTGTCACGGCAAGACGTGGTTGAGGGGCGGGGGCGATTGTGGTGACGGCGATGCTGGTGGCGATGACGATGTCGATGACGATGACGATGGCGATGGCGATGATGATGATGATGATGATGATGATGATGACGATGATGATGATGATGATGAGGATGATGATGATAATGATGATGATGCTGCTGATGATGATGATGATGATCACGGTGATGCTGATGAGGATGAGGATGCGGACGAGGATGATAATGATGATGATGATGATGATAATGATGCTGATGATGCTGATGATGATGATGATGATGCTGATGATGATGATGATGGTGATGCTGATGCTGCTGCTGTTGTTGATGATGCCGATGCTAATTGCCATCGTATTCCATTCCTGGTGTCAGGGACAATGTTTGCTGCCTGGGGACGAGGGCGTACATCTCGCCAGACAGTGGGCGCCACGGAACAGGACAGTGCACGCCATGACCGACATTGGCAGACTTACAAGGCTAACCTAAAACATAGCAGCAGCCAGCCCATACCCCACTGGACAAATTCCCGTGGGCGTTTAGTCGAAATGTTGGCATCTGATACCATGATTGCCCACCCCGTCGGCAGGCACGCGAAATCGACTGCCGAAACATTTCCCGCAGCGGCCCGAGCGCAAGGGGCGGGCAGACGAGAGCAGATAGCAGCCCAAGACCACGCCAGAGTCGGACGGGGATGTACGCCCTCGCACGGGCAGAAGTTTGATTTAGCGGGCTGGGTGGCAAACGCATGCTTGAACCAGGCCATGGCGACTGACGGGGTGCTGGAGGGAGCCTCGGCCATCACAGGGACCTTCAGCCGGTGGCGCCCGAGGATCATGACGGCCAAGAAGCCCCAGAAGCCTCGAGAGAGAGCAGCAGAGGGGCCAGGCGAGACGGCAGGAGAGGAGGCCCAGACGCCCAAGACCACCGAACCACGAAAAAACACCCCATGATCCTCTGGCGCACCGCGGGTCGAGACCAATCGAAGGCCTGGTGTCGCTTAGGGGCAAAGTAGATGGCAGGGACCCCCTGGGATCGCCGCGTGCGCGCACTGGGCCACGCGGCGGCTCCAAGGCCGATCAAGACAGGGCGCGGCAGCACGCGAACGCAGCGCAACGCTGTCGAGACCTGCCAGGTAACATTGCCGCCCACCTGGTCATCAGAGACGGCGTCTCCCGCCCGCGAAAAGCCGCGACTGCCTCAAGGACGCCAGCCCTGGGAGCTGGAGGCTCAGGGCAATCGCTCTCGCCTTCTTCGCGAGGTCCACGACCACCAGCTGGCCGAACTAGCGCGCGCCGTCGAGCAGGTCGCAGAGCTGCTGGTCCAGCAGGTCGTCGGTGATGCCCGCCTGGACAGGCCGCCCGACCTATGCGGCGCTGAAGCCCGCGCGCCCCTCGGCGCAGTCTTTGACCCCCAGCGGGCTCGGCAGCGCGAACTTGTCGCTGAGTGGCCGAAGCGTCGCCGCGACAGCCTGCTAAGATATTGGCGGGTGCGCGCCGGCGGGCTTCAGCTCCATCCAGCCCTCGAAGGCCGTCCGCGCCCTCGGCAGCGAGGACCTTCAGGGCCGAGCGACGGCGCCAGATGGCGCACCGCCGCCATCGCGACCCTCGCCGACGACGCGTCGCAGGCGTCGGGGCCAGGCGCGCCAGGAAGCCCGTCGTGATCGCGTCGATCCCCTGCGCGCGCGACCACGTCAACCCCATCCAAAAGGCAAATGGAGCTCAGCCGCCGGGCGAGGGCCGCGATGGGCTTGGCGGAGGCGTCCGCGGGCGCCGCAGCAACCGAGCAGCTCGGGCGCCATGCCGTCAGCTCCGAGGGCGACAACTGGGGGCCGACTCTCCGACGGGCCAGCGCCATGGCCCGCGACGGCCGCCTCGCGCGACCGCTCCCCCGAGAGACCGCCTCCGACCCGATCTGCTCCAGGCCGCGGCGGCGCGGCGAAGAGGCCCGACCTCGACGGGGCATCGGACGGGCTGGGCCCCGACGGCACCCGGCGCGCATGGGCCCTGCAGCCCGCGGCGCGCAGCAACGAGGCGAGGCGACGCGGCCCTGCGGCCCGGCGAGGTCGGAGGCGCGGCCGCGCCCCCGTGCCAGCGCTGAGAGCTAGAGCCACATGGTCTCCACGGAGAGGGGGGGGCGATGGCCCACGCAAGGGCGCCGCGCGCAAGAAGTGGCGGAGGGCGAGGTCCAACGCGCCCCCCTCTGGTCCAAGATGTTCTTCCCGCGTCGTGCGCGCCCTGCTGGGGTGGGCCACCTTCCAGTCGGGCTCCTTCGACATATCCTCGGGGACCTCGGCGAACCCGGGGGGCTCCGACCCGACGGACAGCGCGCCTTCGAAGTCGTCGGCCCCCCTGGGGCCGGCGAGAACCTCTGAAGCTCGCGCGACCTGCAGGCGGCAGAAGGGGCCGCCGCAATATTTTGATGACAAATGAGGGGGGGCTTCGCATTCAAGATCCTCGGAGGCATCTGAGAGAGGCATGCTTCCTGGCCACAGTGGCGTCGTTGAACCGATGCCTCACCTTGTCAGCAAGCCGACCGATATCGGCGACGACTGAGGAGGCAGCGCGCGACGGCAAGCCCCAATGCCGCACCCGGAGGAACTCGACGCAGCGACGTCGGATGCCCGCGGCAAACGCCAAGACGTAGCACACAGTGGCAGCGTAGACTGGACCCACTGGGGCCCCCTGAAGGCCCCGCCCCAGATCTCGGCAGGCTCTGAAGCACGACTCCGAACGGAGGCACAAGTAACAGACAACAGTTGGGTCTCTCTCCTACTCAGCATGGCCCATGTGGTGAGCCCGGCAAACGTAGATAGTGCACGAGGTGGCATTTTCCCGCGACGCGGCACTGAACGGGCACCAGGGCGCAGACGAGCCAGGCGGGCACAAGGCGCCCTCGTGGTGCCCCGCACCCCGTTGAACTCCAGCCCCGAAGGGTCATTGACGTCCGCGCGGGCAGGCGGCGGTGCCCGCCAGCAGTCGAGGTCGCCCTGATCAACGTTGTCAGCAAGCTCGCTTGATCCAGCCGCCACGCAAAAGTTGTCGACGCAGGCAGCTACCACCCAATTATCGGTGCGCCCAAGCATGGGTGGCCGCGCGCCGCCGAAGATTAAGCGATGCACGTGCGCGCCCGCGTCCCACGCGATGTTGGTCAGAGCGTCCCGGCAAACATGCAGGGCCCAATTCCACCTTATCGGCGGCACCAGAATCTCAGGAAACACGTCAACGTCCAGCTCGAGGCCGCCAGGCCGCAAAGCCCGATTCACGATGTTCAGCTGGGTGAAGGCGTGGGCCAAGTCCGAGGGCAGCTCCATGCGATGGAAGGCGCACTGGGCGTCCGCCGCCACCATGTAGCCGTTGGCCCCGCTGCTGATCTCCAGTCCAGCCCGCGACGCGCCCGTCGGCAATTTGGTGCCAGCCAGCTCCACGAATGCAAATTTTGTGATGCGAGTATCAAGCGCCATCCTGATGCTGCCGTCATTTTTGGTCACGAAGAAAACACCGACGGAGGGCTGCTCGCAATCGCTGCGGGGGCGGAACCTCAACATCCCAGCGGCGTCAACACGACGAAGCAAGTCGGCATAATGGTCGGGGTGCCTGAAGAGAAGGGGATCGACGTAAGGCTTGGCCAGTCCAAGCTCTTTGCACCTGGCGTCTGCCACGGACTCGAAGACTAGCATGCTCATCCTCCATGGCCCTAGCCGAGACATAGCGGCCTCGCTGCGCAAATTGACCGATGGTGAGGGGGTCGTACCAGCAATGGGCTAGGACACAGAGTCCTTGGCATAGGGTCTCACAAGGGAACCGTCGTCACGATATCCTGGCGCATGACGGAACAGCTCTTCAAGGGCAGCATCCGAGGGTGGCGCCGTTGACCGCCAGGTCAGAGGGCCACGAACAAGAACTGGCAAAAATCGACGGCGCGCTGCAGCACCAACCTCTCGGGTAGGTTACAGGCACCCTCCCGGGCGACCGAACCTCCCCGCCCCCACGGCGCTGGCCACTGAGATCGTTGAGGCTATCGGTACAACTTCGCCATGGTGCTCCACGGTCACAGCACTGTCGGGCACGGCGAGCTCGACAGAACTCACGGCGGGGGCCAACAGCAAGCCGAGCAAGGTGAAACATGTTGCGCCGACGGCCGTCGGACGGGATCGTCATCGCGATGCCATGCTGCTCCAGGCACAGGAACCCCACTGGCCCACGATGGGTGGCCGACCGCTGGGGGGGAAAGCCCCGAGGGCCATGGGCTCAACGCCTGCCTGTCGCGGGCTCAGCTGCGCTCATTGGCCGCCGCAGCCTCGGCCTTCAACTGGTCTGCGATCCGCTGGCTGAGCAGGGGGCAACTGCAGACGATGCCCCTGTCCCCCTGCACGTCGAGGAGCAGGCTGCACTCGAGGAGCAGGCTGTCCCACTGACCCATGTCACTGTCCTTTTTTCTCGTTGCCCTTCAGCTTGGAAGGCCTGTACCCCGACCTCCTCTTCCAGAAGCTGGAGGCGGAGAGCCATGCTCTCGAAGAGAGGGAGAGCGCCCGCGGAGGCTAGACTGTAGAACACGGCAAGCTCCAAGATAGGGACGAAGAGAGCGTGAGCTCGGTGGTGGGAGGGACAACCTCTGCCCTCCGCCCCTCCTCCATCCACTAGGAGTGCCAGCCCGAAGAAGTAGCAATATGGGGAGGCCCGCGAGCGCACACCCAAGCAGTGGCCCTCGGTCCGCGTGCAGGTCGAACCCTCCGTCGATGGCAAGATGCTCGCATCCGCTTCCCGCGGGCACCGATGGCTACGAGCTTCACGCGCAGGTCGGTCGTGGCAGCGAGCAGCTCAGGTCCAACGGCCGCCGTGGGCCTCATCGTCTAAATGGTTGGCGGTGCGGGCTCCCCAGGCGCAGCCGCGGCAGGGCAGCCCCCGCCGGTCAGCGCCGCCGCCAGCCCAAGCACGGGTGGAATCGCAGCGGGCGCAGTGCCCTCGGAACCAACAAGACCAGCGGCTGCGAGAGGCGGAAGCGGGACTGGTCTAGCCTGCGCCTGCACGCCTGTGGTCAAGCCACCAGCATTAGGTCGGGCGGCGGATTTTGGACGAAAGGGAAATCATAGTCAAGAAATCCCCCCACATAGTCGAAAATTGTTGAAACATCGTCTCCCGACTATTTTTGGATTCTCTATTCTTGAATATTCCTCCTGTAGAGGGACGTGCCCGACTTAACACCAGCATGGCCTCTTGCCACGGACCACGAGGCCGACGAAGCACAGTGCGGCCGATCCCGAGCCACGGGCCCCCGCTCCGAGATGCCCGTCCCGAAGGCCGCGGCGAACGGCAGCACTCCGAGACCGTATGGGTGCCCTGGGGCCCGCGGGTCGTCCGCCATCACCCGGCAAGCTTTCCTCTGGGAGGCGAAAGGGAGACCGCGCCAACGCGTGACGGCAACGGGGAGCTGGCAGAACATCCTGCCCCCAGGACCGTCATCGCCCTGACGCCCACTCGCACGAATGCATACGAATGCCACAGGCTTCGAAAGCAAATGCCACGATGCCACCGCCATCACCCGACAGGATGAGGTCCGTCGCGATGTCGGCGCCGAGAAAGTCGCCCTGCTCGGGAGGGTCCCCGCCGGGGGAAACGGCACATCCAGCTAAACCATTGAGTATCGTTTAACCGATCCCCATCCCCAGTGGCGTGGCCTGGGCCCCACTGGCCGATGTACCCCCCTAGATGGGGATATAGGTCGTTCCCTTGGGGTTTCGAGGGGTGTGTCCCCAACTGGGGTGGTAGCTTTGTGGGGGTCTCGAAGGGGATTGGGATGGGGATGGGGATTGGTTAAACGATACCGAACCAAGTCCCCGAAGACGAAGGAGCAGCACGAACCATATATGCGCTCCGACACGTTGGCACAGCAGGTAAGAATCTGACAACATACTGGATGAGATTTTGTCACGGCGAAGAACGGAGAGGTCGCCTCCGACGACACTGGCCGCCAAGCCGAGGATCTGCGCCACGAGCGCGCAGGTCGCGACAATCCTGCATGCGAAGACTCCACCACCAGACCTTCCGCTCACGCACGACTTCACGCGGATGACGAGGCAGGTGATTTGCGGCGCGTAGTCGACGCCGCTGGGCGCGACCACTCGTGCGACCAGGGAAGCTCCCTGGGCCTGCCCGCCGACTCGCAGCACTTGCCAGGAAAAGGGGCCAGATCTTGCACGGGAGAAGATGATGGTGATGATAATGATGATAATGATGATACTGATGATGCGGACGATGCCAATGATGATGCTGATGATGACAATGACGATGACGATGACGATGACGATGATGATGATGATGATGATGATGATGATGATGATGATGATGATGATGATAATGACTATGCTTATGCTTATGAGGATGATGAGGAGGATACTGATGATGATGATGATGATGCCGATGATGATGACGATGGTTAGTGATGAGTGGTGGTGGAGGTTTCGGTGATGGTGGTGATAATAATGGGTGATGGTGGTGACGACGATGGTGGTGATTCTGATGATGTGGAGCGGGAGGATGATGCACAGGCGGAGCCACAGCAACAGAGGGAGTCATGCAGAGCATCGGGGTTCGCGCTCACGTCGAGGTCGATCACCACTAGCCACGCAAGCTCAACCAAGAACACCATCCTGTGATGCGTCGCCTGGACTGGAGAAATAACAAATTGCATACACATGAACTTTTGGAGGTCCGCGCGAATTTCTTGGATCTGTGCTGAGGCCTCCTCCCCGGCGCGCGGAGCGAGTCAGGGGCGGCGCCAGAGGAGCCGCCAGGGGGTTCCAGCGCAGATTGAATAAGTCCGCGCGGAGCTGCGACAGCTTATGCTCATGCAGTGTTTTCGTCTTCGGATCCTGTGGTGCATCACCCGGTGGACAGCAGCGTCGTCGCCAGCCCACGGCCACGTGGCAGACCGCTGAGCGCTGGAAGCGGACTACGCCCGCCCCCGCTTGCGCGGGGGAAAAACCGTGCGACGTCGGCGGCGCTCGGAGAGGCGAGCGCGGGGGACGCGAGGGCTTCGGCCCCTCCCAGAACTCCGACGTAGATTTTTTTGTTTTCTACATCTTAAGGCGTCTGCCGGAGCTCGTGCACAGCCCTTGTGTGCGCTTGCGACCCATGCTGTCCAGGGCGAAGCGCTTGCGAAGCTACTGGGGGCAGCGCTGCCTGGCTCGCGCGCAGCTCCCAAGCAGCTCCGATAGGCAGCGTTCTCTAGCCCGCGCGCAGCTCCCAGGCAGCTCCTTGAGGCAGCACTTCCTAGCTCGCGCGCAGCTCCCAGGTAGCATCTGGGCGTGTGCTTCCTAGCTCGTGCGCAGCTCCTCGGGACCCCCAGAAGTCTGGGCACCTTCCCCGGGAGCGGCTGCTCATCCTGAGTCGCTCTCTGACGGTCCTTGGGCGCGGTAGGGGCCCCCGAAGGCCGAAACCTGAAACCAACGCGTTCGTCGTGACTATTTCCACGATGCGAGGAGGTGGGCCCCACCAGGGCGCCAGGTCGGCCAACGTTTAGCGCAGTCCCACAAAACGCCGAGCACAGCATTTCCAAGTGTGAAGATCGACCAGCGTTCTGGCCGGCGCCCGCGTGTACGATGAGCTCCACCGCGGAAGACTGCAGCAGGCGCAAAGAGGGCATGCCGATCTTCACCGCGGCTTCGCCCAACTCCCACAACTACGTCGCCCAACTTCGCGCACCGCGCCGCGTGTCCAACTTTGCATCAAGCAAAGGAATGTGCCATAATATGGGCAACATCATTGCACGCTTGTGCGAATTCGCGCGTGTTCAAAACACTTCAATGTCGAACTTGACCGACGGCCGACGGGTCCACACCCGTGAACAGGTCAGGGTGCGATGGGAGATGATGGTTGAAGCTCGCCCAGATGATTCGTCAACCATCGTAAATACAACCCGAATGCCCGCCATCAGGCAAGCTGGAACTCTGAACGCTTACTAACATAATTGCGCCGCGAAGACAAGCTGCATCTACCATAACCTCGCAACACCATGTAGTGACCACGCTGCGTTTTGCAGACGAAGCAGTAATCACCCACCCACAAGGATTGTCCCCATGTGTGCACATCCGTACAGCAACCTGCACAGATATCAGCATGACAATCGAACCCAACTTGGCGATTATCGGGAACGGCGGAGGATGATTATGCAGAGCATGAGGATGATGATCAGGAGGCGGTTGAAGATGATGAGGAGGTTGAGGATGAGGAGTAGCGAGGAGAAGGAGGCAGAGGACGAGGACGAGGAGGAGGCTGAAGATGAGGAGGAGCGGGATGAGGAGGAGGAGGAGAAGGAGGTTGAGGATGAGGGTGAGGAGGTTGAGGATGGGGAGGAGCAGGTTGAGGGTGAGACGAAGGATGATGATGATGATGATGTTGATGGTGGTGATGTTGATGATGATGAGGAGGAGGAGGAGGAGGAGGAGGAAGATGAGCATGAGGATGACGTTGTGGATGATGAGGGTGACGAGGAACATAAAGATGAGGAGGACGAGGGAGAGGTTCAGGATGAGGAGGGGGTTGAGGATGAGACGCGGCACTCTGCTCACACCGACAGCCGACTAATCGGAATCCGACCTCAGAGTTCGCGCGCGCTTCTGGCGGCGCGAACATGCTGCGCCGCGCCAGCCGGCGCTGCTGCGGGAGCTCGCTGCTTTGAGACGCGCACCCCTGCACTGACCTTCCGATGGCGCCTCCTCTCACTCTGCC